AATTATTTGTAAAATAATAGTAATAATAAAGGCAGGATATAATAAATAATAAATAAAATAAATACTTTAAAAATTCAGCAAAAACATTTTTATTGAGAAAGTTTTACAGCCTATTTAGGGAGTAAACATTTACTTAAAATAAAAGACAACTGACTGCAAAACATTAAATTATTTTAGCCTTTTGTTTTATATTTAGCCATAGTAAAGCAATAATGGAAATCAGTGATGAGGGGCACTGGGAATGTTAGCTATTTCTCCACCATCACTGCCACAGTGATAGTAGTAAAAAGCCTTCTGAGAACACAGCTCTACTGTATAAGTAGATAAGATAATTTTAGCATGATCTGTTACAGAGCGGTCTTACTTCTCTTAGTTTTGCTCAACATATAGATATCACCATGTTTTCTTCTTCACTAATGTTTAAGAAATTAGATGATAAAGAATAATCAATTTTTGAATATCCATTCCTTAGAGAAAATGTGATTTAATGCTTAACATGTTCTATTAGGAGCAGGAAGACCAAGGTTGCCCACCCCCAGTCATAGAAGCTTTGGACCAGTTATTCTCTCCCAGCCCAACTTACCTTTTTACTTTGTGATGCCAAATGGTAACATACCATACATTCAGTCATGGCTTCCTATTAACTGTTTTGTGCTAATAAAATATTAGAAGTTAATTTAGTTTCCAATATGATAAAAGAATCTCATAGGAGGAGGGTTATCATCTGGCATCAGAAGTAGAGTTTTGAAATGCCAGAGGAATTCCTTAAAAAAAAAATCAGGGAAGAGATTGTAACTGGGGGAGAGTGGAAGTGTATAAGTTCTGGCAAGTAAGATAAACTAAATAGTTTTGGCTATTAAAGATTGGCTGCTAGTTTATGAAAGCAAATGGCTGGATGGTCATTCTGAAATGGATCCAACACCACTATACTGTTGAAACTCCCGTACCAACTCCTGAAGTGTTGCTTCAAGAGGAGTTAGAAACTTCCTGAAGTGGAGCAGGGCATAGTCCAGAGAAGAATGCTGAAGAGAAGTACAGAACAGCATAAATCTACCATGCATAAATGATTATTCAGTGATAAAGCAATGGCAATAAAGAGGTTTTAGCAGGCCAAAAAAAGTCATCTGCAAGCCTGACTGATCCAGGGCAACTGTTGGCCAGAATATGAAGATCTTTCTTAATTCTAAATAGTAGTAGTTAGAATCATTTAGAAACCCAGAGAAGGTAAGACAGACTAAATTAAATAGATCTTGAAAATACAGTATATATGTGGTTAGAGAGAGAAGCTTTAGACTGCATAACTCAATATTAAAAAAAAATCACTTATGCATTTTAGATCTTGGGTTGAGTCTTCACCCTCTTCTCTAGTTGTTAACAGAAAAAGTTGGGAAAAAGAAGATGAGGTAATACATTGGGTTGTGTATCAGTACATAACTCTGCTGAGGAATATGCCTAAAATGAAATTAGATGCTGCTTGTTTAATAACAGATGAAAACAGAATTTTATTCATTAGATTTGTTAAGTTTGCCTAATTCCAAAGAGACTGTTCCAAACACAAGTGATTGTTGTGTGGGAAAATTAGGGAGAGTGCTAATTACACCACCCTGAGCTTCTGAATGAAAGACTAGAAATAAATCTTTTCTTTTTTGAGGGGGAGGAGTGATTTTTGGAAGACTAAGTCCAATTATTTTTTTCATTAATCCTTCATGACTTACTGACCATAAGGGGGCAAGTATGGACAAAGAGTTAAAGATCTCTTCTTGGTTTAATGTTCTGCTTCTTCTTTTTCTAAAACAATGATAATCTAAAGTAGCTGCTCTCTGCTTTTCTTCCCAGGCATCACATGCTCTTTTAACCTCTCCTAGTAGAACATAGCTAGCTAATTGCTAAACTTTACAATATATCTCTATAATTTGCCCATCTCTATAATCTCTAATTATGGAGTTTAAATACAATACATTTACAATACCATTAAATACAATGCTCTTGCAAGTTTAAATAAAATTATAACCTGCTTCACTAATTGTTGCCCAGATCAGATCCTTAGGCACCTTCATATATGCACACACACAATATATCATCTCTAATAGTGGCAAAGTTGAAATTAAATTATTGTGTCAAATAAAGGACTGAATGTTCCTAAAGGATGCTGGAAGAAGATCATTGTTCTAGTATTTTCCACTGGCAATTTACTCTTGAATTCACTTTCAGGTGCAGCTAAAACACCACTATTGTGAAGGTAAACAATGTTTGCAGTTTTACAAAGTCATTTATGTCTGCAAAAAGAAAGTGGCATGGAGAAATTAGCATTAAATTCTTGCTGCCATGTTAAATTGATCATAAAATATGTGAGTATAGAGTTTTTATTACATTATTTTCATTAAGGGAAAAAAATGACACCCGCAATTCAATGGAAATTAAAAGAATAAAGGCTTCTTTTAAAGCACATGTTCTCCTCTGCTTTCAGTGATAATGTTTTATGAGAGAAATGTGGCATGAAATGCACCTCAGTGAGAGTTTTGGTGAAAAATGTTCCCCTGTAACAAGTGACATGAGAAGAGTGTAGGAAATGGACCAGAACACAAAGCCTCAATACATAATTGACCAAACTTCTTTTCAAGTACACTGTGATAGATAGCTAACTATTTTTTTTTTCACAGTCAGTTGATATATTTGCATAATGACAAGAATCCCCAGGATATTTTGCTCCTTTCTTTAACATTAATGTAATTAAAGAAAAAAAATCTACTTCAGAGAGAGAGGGGGGGGGGAAGAGAAACAGCAAGGAACTGCCAAACGGGAAAAAAAAACAATCTATAGCATTATTAATCGATTGTAGAGATGCAGTGGAAGATAATGCATTTTGCAAAAGTAGTGAATTATGTCCAACTAGGTGTCTATGAAAAACCATATGGAGCCCTTTTTCCTATTCTTGCTTTGAAGGGCTGAAGCAGAAGATCATGCTGGGTGACTCCCTTAATCTTGAGCCATTCCTCTGCAGTGTAGGAAGCTGTTAGACATTGATGCCATGAATCAATAGAACGGAGAATTCATATTTCTCCAAAAGGCTTTTTCAAAATGTTCCCAAGGTCCTACATCTAGAGGGCAAAAGTCTGTATAGGAGAGATACCTTGATGCAGAAACCCTAGGCTGTTCTTGAAACATAAAAGCTTACAGATTCTTTTGTGCCTTTTTAATAAACTAATATGGCCATGGTTGCCTTTTATGTCCCTAGAAAATTAGATTTTAAATTCTGTGGAGAATATTCAAGCATTCTAAACTGGGAGAATGTGTTTGCACCAGTTGTACTCAAAGTCAACACACCTCTATCCTGTACAGGAAGAAGAGAAAATAATTTTGAACCTGGCATAAAGTTGAGAAAGTCTTTATTTTATTTTTTTTAAAGTAGCTGAATTGCAAAGTATAAAGTTTATCTTAGTGTAAAGGTTGGAATAAGAATGCAGAGACCCATGTTTAAGATTTTGTTGGCTATGGAACTTGCACTGTCCTGCTGGATCAATCACTCTCAAATGAGTTTACTCATGGAGAATGCCCTCATATATATGTTCCTTTAAAAAAAACCCTTCCCAAATACACACACACACACACAAACACACACACACACACAAAATTACTGTATTTCTACAAAGTAAATAAATCAGCTTTCTTCTATGCATTGGACATGTTTATTTTGCACATAAATGTTTAATATTTCATTTTAATGCTATCCACCTTGGCTAATTAGAACAAATATCAATAATACTAACAACACTAATAACCTAATTCTTTGATTATGATTACAAAGGTCACATTCTGGAGGCTATTTTTTCAGAAATCTAGAAGGCTTCCTGCTCCACAAAACAGACATTAGGAAGTGAAACAACACATCACAGCCAATTTTTTCACTATATTGGCTGTAACTGTACAAGTTAATATTATATTGAATAAAACCAGCATTCAGATCTCCATTCGGAGGAGCATTAATGCCAGTGTGTGTGTGGTGTTCTGCATTGCCTTAGCTTTGATGACATGAAAGAGTACCATCCCCAGTTGCCTCCCCCTCACCAAACAGCATAAGATCAGGATAGGATGTGGAAGCATGAAATCAAACAAACATTTGTACATATTCAAGAAAGGGAATCTGCAGTAATTTTCAAGTCATAAAACTGCATCATCATATTTTTCTTTAAAAATGAGATTAAAATTTTTGGGTAAAAGAAGGAGGCTTCAGTGGTGCTAAATTGCCAAAAGCTCTTTCCAGGTGCTCTTTATGTTTCTTTCTGAACTTAGATACAGAAAGAAAATAAGCCTTTTGTCAAAAATTGAAAAAGCACAATTCATGAAAATTAGGTATAATTTTATAAATTTTTTATGCACCCAAGAATCTTCTCTCTGATTCAAAGTTTCTTTTAGGCAGGTGTTTTTTTAAGTAATTGAATGCTAAATATTGGACTGCTATTCCTGAGTTGTTCATTAGAATTAACTGAGAAATGAAAGAATTATTATTTCAATAGAAATATTCATTTCAAAAGGGATAATACATAGGATTGTTTGAAATAAATATTTTCACCTCAATCATATTGATCAATATTAAATGTAATAATAATATCTATTCTACAGTTAAAAGCATTAAATATTGCTAAGCAACCATTTAAAAAGAAATAGCTAAAAATCTATTTAGCACCCTGAGCTGATGAAATTTGCAGCTCTATAGTTAAAGGGAATCAGGTTGGTGAAGACTGCTCTGCACTGGAAGCTGCGCCTCTAATTTGCTCCTTTTTTTAAAACCATGACAGATTTATCAACACAGCACAGAAGTGGAGAGGCTCAATACAATGCTCTGAATAAAATTCAGAAATAAGAAACAGTACGCTTAGAGTTTTGTAATATTCCAATTTCATGTGTGAGAAAAACAGCTAATTGAGAATTCTGGAAAAAAAATCAGCACCAAACAAAAGTGTTGTGCAAATTTGTTGGTATTCTGAAGGAAATTCACTCACCCAGAGAAACAAGTAGAACTGCATAACTTTTTTCTTTCCTGTAAAAGAAATGTGTTCACTTATGTGTGAAAGTTCCAAGCAAATCATCCTCTTTTTCTTGCTGCATTTCTCCCCTTATGAAAAAAAATCCCTCCAGTAGTTGATCATGATTATTTTTGAAATATTACCTCATTATTATATCAAAATGCAAAAAATAAAACTGTCTTTCATCTTGATTGGAAGTACGGAGACAAATGCAGCTCAGCCTATTTCCAATTAGAATCAAGTAACTTAACTTGTCCCATGTCTTGGTTCTTTGCCTACTCATCAGCTCTATGCAACAAGAGTGTTGGATTTTTCTAGCTTCACTTTTATGTTTGCACTCACAAGCAGGTGGGACAATTATATTCAAATCCAGATTAGTCTGTCCACATTGCATTCATAGATGGGAGTATACAACTTGGCGTTTGAGTCAAATACAAGGTTCGGCATTCAGGTGGGGCCTGAACAAACATATAGACAGTGGCACTTTAAACTAAATTAATTATAGATAACATGGTTATTATGCAATCATTTCTTTTTGCTAGCATGTTGAAATTTCTAAATTGGTGGCAAATTTAGGAGCACTTCTGAGATTGCATTCAAGGTCTTTATGTTTTGATTTGGCTCATATTATGAACCTCCAAATTAGAATATTAATTATATAAATGAAAACATGTCTATATATGTGCCTAGTTGATCAACTACATGTGAATAGATCAGGTTAAGGGAGTACTGGCAAATAAAGAACAGTTTCAGAAACAGTTGCCAAAAAGGTATGAGTCTGCATAAGATGGACTCATATATAAATCCCATCAGGTCATTTTAGTTGTGCAATACAAAGAAATTAATCATTGACAGAGTTTTAAGACCTGTTGGAAAAGGAAGGACATTGAAATGGCATTGAAAATGAATGGAGTAAGCTTCTATCAATCTGACTATTAACTCGTAAGGTGATAAAGAAGGTAAAAGAACAGCAAATTAAAACAATCTCTACCATGTTTTACAGAGCTTAATAATGTCATCTTAGGGTGAGAAAAACAATCCAGTAAGAGACAAGTCTTGAAGAACTCCTGAATACTTAAAAAGACAGAAAATCAATACGGGCCATAACTATTGGCACAGACATGTAATGAAGTGTAAAACTTTGGTATAACAACAAATTAAAATACCATTAATGTCTAGGTTAATGAGAGAACATAAAATGATTTTTTAAACATATACCTGTTCTTTGCTTTGCTCTTTATTAAGAGGGCTGTGAAGCATTCCATTGGGAATGTCAATGAAGAGTTAGGACTTAGAATAATCCATTAAAATCCAGCCCTTCTCAAAATTTTAAAGCCAGTGCCATCATTTAAATGAGTAACAAGATTTCAGGGAAAAAAATAACTTGAAGATTGCAAGAGGCAGGTTAATTGGGTTCATGTCTTGAAATGTCTTCTGAATTGATTATCATCCATTTTTTCCCATTGATATAGCTCCAACTTCTGGCAAGAAGAGAAAAGCATTCTCACTGCAGACTGACAACAGTGTGGGCTGAGCTATTTTGGAAAAGAGAAGTCAGATATTTATACAGAGAGAACTGATGAGGATAAATGGATGGATAGATAGATAAATAGATAGATAATAATAGTAGTAAAGTTGGAAGGGACCTTGGAGGTCATCTAGTCCAACCCTCTGCTCAGGCAGGAAACCCTACACCATTTCGGACAAATGGCTGTCCAGTCTCTTCTTAAAAACTTCCAGTGTTGGAGCATTTACTGCTTCTGGAGGCAAGCTGTTCCACTGATTAATTGTTCTCACTGTCAGGAAGTTTCTCCTTACTTCTAGGTTGCTTCTCTCCTTGATTAATTTCCACCTGTTGCTTCTTGTCCTGCCTTCAGGTGATTTGGAAAATAGCTTAATTCCCTCTTCTTTATGGCAGCCCCTGAGATATTGGAATACTGCTATCATGTCCCCCCTTGTCCTTCTCTTCGTTAAACTAGACATACCCAATTCTAGCAACCGTTCCTTATATGTCTTAGCCTCCAGTCCCCTAATCATCTTTGTTGCTCTTCTCTGTACTCTTTCTAGAGTCTCAACATCTTTTTTACATCGTGGTGACCAAAACTGGATGCAGTATTCCAAGTGTGGCCTTACCAAGGCATTGAAGAGTGGTATTAATACTTCACGTGATCTTGATTCTATCCCTCTGATAATGCAGCCTAGCACTGTGTTGGCCTTTTTGGCAGCTGCAGCACACTGCTGGCTCATATTTAAGTGATTGTCTACTAGGACTCCGACGTCCCTCTCACAGTTACTACTATTGAGCATGGTGCCACCTATGCTGTACTTGTGCATTTGGTTTTTCTTGCCTAAATGTAGAACATTGCTTTTTTCACCATTGAATTTCATTTTGTTAGTTAGTGCCCAGTGTTCAAGTCTGTCCAGATCCTTCTGTATCTTAAGCCTGTCTTCTGGAGTGTTGGCTATTCCTGCTAGCTTGGTGTCGTCTGCAAATTTGATGAGTTCCCCATCTATCCCTTCATCCAAATCGTTGATGAAGATGTTGAAGAGTACTGGGACCAGAACAGAGCCCTGGGGCACCCCACTACACACTTCCCTCCATATAGATGCAGTTCCATTGAGGACCACTCGCTGAGTACGGCCGGTCAGCCAGCTACGGATCCATCTGGTGGTGGTTCTGTCTACCCCACATTTTTCTATCTTGTCAAGTAGTAGGTTGTGATCTACTTTATCAAATGCCTTACTGAAGTCTAAGTAAATTATGTCCACAGCATTCCTCTGATCCACTAATTTTGTCACTTGGTCAAAGAATGCAATAAGATTTGTCTGGCATGATATATTTTTGACAAACCCATGTTTGCTTTTAGTAATGACTTTGTTTGCCTCTAGGTGTTCGTTGATTCGTTGTTTGATTATCTTTTCCAGGATCTTCCCAGGTATTGAGGTCAGGCTGATAGGTCTGTAATTTCCTGGATCCATTTTTTTTCCTTTTTTGAGGATGGGAACGACATCAGCTCTTTTCCAGTCCTCTGGTAGTTCCCCTGTGTTCCAGGATCTTTGAAAAATATAGTTCAGTGGCTCCGATATCACATCTGCCAGTTCCTTGAGAACTCTGGGGTGTAATCCATCTGGTCCTGGCGATTTGAACTCATCTAGGCTGGACAGGCACTCACTAACCATTTTCTTGCCTATCTTAACTTGTGTTTCTGTTTTGTTTTTTATGGCACTATTTTTGATAGGTTGGTCTGTTTTTTCCCTTTGTGTAAAGACAGATGCAAAAAATGAGTTAAATAGTTCTGTTTTCTCCCTGTTGCTTGTCACTTTTTTGCCACTTTCACCCATAATGGACCAATCATTTCCTTCACTTTTTTCTTATTTTTTTACATGTTGAAAGAAGCTTTTTTTGTTATTTTTGACTTGGTCACAAGCCTTAGTTCATTTTGAGCCTTGCCTTTCTTCACTTCATCTTTGCAGGCTCGGGCTATTTGCTGATATTCTGACTTAGTTATGTTCCCCTCTTTCCACTTTCTATACTTGTCCTTTTTATCTTTCAATTTGTCAGAGAGTTCTTTATGCAGCCATGCTGGTTTCTTTTGAGAGCTGTTATTTTTCCTCTTTGTTGGTATTGTGCTAGACTGTGCTTTTATTATCTCATTTTTCAAAATTTCCCAAGCTTCTTGAGTTGTTTTCCCCTTGAGGATTCTCATCCATGGAATCCTTCCCAAGCCCTCTCTAAGTTTATTGAAATTAGCTCTCTTGAAGTCCAAGACTCTAGTTTGACTGTGTTCTATTGGTTGTGCTTCTATAATGTTGAATTCTAATATTGCATGATCACTTCCTCCCAGGGTTCCTATGGCTTCAACACCGTCTATCATTTCATCTCTGTTAGTGAGAAGTAGATCCAAAATGGCTAATCCCCTAGTTCCCTTCTCTACTTTTTGGGAGACAAAGTTGTCTGCTAGGTTTGCCAGGAACCTGTTTGATCTTCCACTTGGTGTGGAGTTTGTCTCCCAGTTGATGTCAGGGTAGTTAAAGTCCCCCATTACTATTGTGATGTGTTTCCTACATACCTTAGTTAGCTGACTAGCAAAAAGTTCATCTATTTCCTCTGTTTGGTTGGGTGGTCTGTAGTATACACCTATGGCAATGTCATTACCCCCCCCTTTTATATTGACCCAAATGCATTCAAGACAGTTTTTATCATTGTTGTACTCTATTTCTGTGAAGATGTAGTTATTTCTTATATAGAGAGCAACTCCACCTCCTCTTTTATTTGTTCTGTTTCTTTTAAATAATTTAAATCCCTCTAGCTGTGTGTTCCATGTGTGAGTTTCATCCCACCATGTTTCCGTAATGGCAACAATATCGTATCTGCCCTCATTAACCTGAATTTCTAGTTCACCCTGTATGCTGTTCATACTCTGTGCATTGGTGTATAAACATTTGAGTCCTTTGTGGGTGGCCCTGTGTTTCCTTTCTACATAACCTGTGTGGTGCCTGAGTTCCCCTATTGTATTACCACCTATTTGGTTAGTGCACTTTATGTGGCACTCGCTATTAGAGGCTTCATTTTGCTTGATAGCAAGGTTGGTATTCTTGTCCACACACACATCTATGCTACATGCACTGATAGCCCTATAGTTTTTAAATTGCCGGGGACAGGGTTGTTCCGTATCAATTAACTCCCTATCCCCGCTGTTTAGTTTAAATTTCCCTCCAGAAAATCTGTGAATTTATAGCCGAGTAACTCAGTCCCTTTTTTGATGGATGCAAACCATCTCTTTTGTACGTCTTTTGATTGGACCAGCTACTGACATTGTGACTAATATATCCAAAGCCTTCCCCTTTACACCACTCCTTTAGCCACATATTGAATTATGCTATGCGCTGGCCTTTTCCGTTTTGCTCCTTATACACTGGTAAAACCTCTGAGAAAGTAAGCCTACAGCCTATTCTGCTAAGTTCCTTCCCCAAGCTCTGGAAATCATTCTGCACAGAGAGTACATCTTTTTGG